AAGGACAAATGCTGTGTGACTCCACTTGTAGTGTCACGGAAAGGGGACCAGGCCCGGAGGGGTCTGCCTGGCTGGTAGTGTGTGGGTTCTAGACTTTGTGCAGGAAAGATTTCACAACAGGAGTCCAAGTGATTTATAGAGGCTGTTTATTAAAGCTGGGGACAGCCCTGGCCGGTTTGGCTCAGTGGTTAGAGTGTTGGCCTGCAGTCCAGAGAGACATGGGTTCGGTTCCCGCTAAGGGCATGTGCCTCAGTTGCAGTTTGTCCCCGGCCCTGGTTGGTCGTGCGGGAGGCAGCCACTCCATGTGTCCCTTTCACGTCTATGTTTCTCTCTCTCTTTCTCTCTTCCTCTCTCTCCCTCCCACTCTATCTGAACAAAAAATGGAAAAATGTCCTCAGGTGAGGATAAAAAAAAAAGAGAGAGAGAGAAAAAGGGGGCCTAGAAGGCAGAATCAGGGTGTAAGCCCGGGTGGGGTTGCTGTTGCCCATTGCTCCTCTGGTTGCAAGTCTTGTGGGATCCCTGAGTTTAGGAGGAAGTAAAAAGTTCATGCCCGAGAAAAGGCACGAGCATGCTCCAGAGAGAGCCCACACTGGCGTCCTTTGTCTTAAGGGTTTTATCTCTCTTCTGTGGGCGAGAATCTTAGGGGAGGGTTTCAGCAGAATACTCAGCAGCTTTCCAGGTGCATTTTTAAATTATTATTATTATTATTATTTATTTATTTATTTATTTTTGTTACAGATATTTCTCCTTTCCCCCCACTGATTCCCCCCTCCCTCCCCGCCCTGTCCCCAGCTTTGTTGTCCATGTTCATTGTTCATGCATACATGCATGTAAGTTCTGTGGTTTATCTCTCCCCCATCACTCCCTCTTCTGGGGATTGTCAGCCTGTACCCCACTTCCACGTCTCTGAGACTACCCCATTCCTCAGACTGTTTCCAGGTGTATTTTATTTATTTATTTTTTTATCCTCACCCGAGGACATTTTTCCATTTTTTGTTCAGATAGAGTGGGAGGGAGAGAGAGGAAGGGAGAGAGAGAGAGAAACATCGACGTGAAGGGACACATCGAGTGGCTGCCACCCGCACGACCAACCAGGGCCGGGGACAAACTGCAACCGAAGTACGTGCCCTTAGCGGGAACCGAACCCGGGTCTCTCTGGACCGCAGGCCGACGCTTTAACCGCTGAGCCAAACTGGCCAGGGCTCCAGGTGTATTTAAAATATGCTGATGCATCAAAATGAGTGTATAGGGGAGTTTGGGATTATTTTTTGGTCTGCTTTACTGTTTCCTTTTGTGTTGTTGCTGTTAATCTTCACCTGAAGATATTTTTCCATTGTTTTTAGAGACAGTGGAAGGGATGGAGGGAGAGCAAGAGAGAGAATCATCAATGTGAGAGAGACACATTGATTGGTTGCATCCCTCATGACCCTGAACAGATCCGGGGATCAAACCTGCAACCCAGGTACGTGCGTTTGACCAGAACCGAATCCAAGACCCTTCGATACGCAGGCCAGTGCTCTAACCGCTGAGTCAAACCGGCTAGGGCTGCTGTTTCCTTTTTATCTTGGGTCTCTGTCTGCCTGTAATCAGGTTTGTGTTATTTATTCCCCTGACTTCATCCGACCTTGGAATTGGCTGGCACAAATGGCATTAATTGGGTCCCTGTTCTCTGTCTCCCTGACCAGGGTGATTTAAGCTATGTATTCTCTGGTCAGGGGGGAGCCGTATAAACCATTTGTTCTCAAGTGTCCTTGCTTAGGGAAGATAAGGTCTTGCTATTCATTGGCTGGCTGTAAATTGTTCAAGTTGTTTGGCCTTGTTTAGTTATCTTGTCTCAGTCTTCCCATTCCACTCGCCCAGGAATTTTCCTAGCTTCTCACTATCCTGCCACAATAGGAGGTCCCTAGGGTCGTCAAATTCATGGACAGAAAGTGGAGTGGTGGGTGCCAGGGACTGGGGGAGGTGGAAGAACGGGAGTCAGTGTTTAATGGGAACAGAGTAAGCAGAGCTCTGTGGCTGGATGGTGGTGATGGTGTCACAGCAATGAGAACACTACAGAACTTATAGATGGTTACCACGGGTATGTTTATGTCATGTATATTTTAACAAGATCCTTCTGGCTGCTAAAGGGACTGGGGTGCAGGGGTGGGAGGGGCGGAGCGGAAACAGGACACTGTCTACAGGTCCCAGCATTTGCTCAGGTGAGAGTCACGGGGACTGAAACCAGGTGACTGTTTTGCAGGTGGAGCTAGCAGGACCCGTGGATTTTCTTACTGGGGGGCGGGGGGGAGGATGACCCTTCCCTATGTGACCTAGACATTTGGGTGAATGATGGATCCATTTTTCTCAGATGGAGGAATAGTGGGGGGAAAGGAAGTTTCTTTGCTGAGGGAGACAGGGAGCAAAAAATTCTGTTTGAGATGCCTATCAGAAAATCCAAGTGGATTCTGGGTATTTATCTGAAAACAATCCAAACACTAAATCGAAAAGACATATGCACCCCCATGTTCACTGCAGCATTATTTACAATAGCCAAAATATGGAAGCAACCTAACTGCTCATCAATAAATAAGTGAATAGAAAAGCTGTGGTACAGCCTGGCCAGAGAGCTCAATAGGTTGGAGAGTCATCCTGACAGCCAAGGTTGCAGGTCAACCCCCAGTCAGGGCACATACAAGAAGCAACCAAGGGCCCTGGCCAGTTTGGCTCAGCGGTTAGAGCATCAGCCCGCGGACCAGAGTCCTAGGTTTGGTTCCAGCTAAGGGCACATACCTCGGTTACAGTTTGTCCCCGGCCCAGGTTGGGGTTGTGTGGGTGGCGACCAGTTGATGTGTCTCTCTCACATCAATGTTTCTCTCTCTCTCTTCCTCCCTCTCTCCCTCCTGCTCTATCTGAAGATAAATGCAAAAATGTCCTCGGGTGAGAATTTTAAAAAAAAGAAGCAACCAATGAAGGCATCCATAAGTGGAATACAAATCTCTCCCTCTCTCTCTCTTTCTCTCTCCCTCCCTCTCTCTCAAATCAATCAATAAAAATAAATGATTGGATAAAGAAGTGGTATATACAATGGAGTATTACTAGCCATAAAAAGAAGTGAAATATTACCATTTATGACAACATGGATGGATCTAGAGAGTTTATGTTCAGTGAAATAAGTCAGAAAGAGACACAAAAAAAACCCATATGATTTCACTTATATGTGGAATCTAAAAAAATAAATTAACGAACAGAAACCAACTTATAGATACAGAGAACAGACTGATGGTTGCCAGGTGGGAGAGTAGTTGGGGGGATGGGTGTAAAAGGTGAAGGAATTGAGAAATACAGGTTAGGAGTTCCAAAACAGTCCCAGGGAAATAAAGTACAGCATAGGGAATAGAACCAATAATACAGGGTGTCCCTCCCTCCCCCCGCAAATGTATACAGAGTGTCTGCAGATTCTATTATATTTTGAAAAGGAAATGTATTTTTAATAATCACTGGCCTTAGCCCTGGCCGGTTTGGCTCAGCGGTTAGAGCGTCGGCCTGCGGTACAGAGAGACCCCGGTTCGGTTCCCGCTAAGGGCACATACCTCGGTTGCAGTTTGTCCCCGGCCCTGGTTGGTCGTGCGGGTGGCAACCACTCGATGTGTCCCTTTCGCATCGATGTTTCTCTCTCTCTCTCTCTTCCTCTCTCTCCCTCCCGCTCTGTCTGAACAAAAAATGCAAAAATGTCCTCGGGTGAGGATAAAATAAATAAATAAATAAATAAAAATAATCACTGGCTTTATAATTACACTTTTTTCGTGTGTATACATTTTTGGGGGGATACCCTTTATTGTAATAACTATGTATGATGCCAGTTGCGTACTAGAATTATTGGGGATCACTTTGTAAGGTATGTGACTGTCTGACTAGTAAGCTGTACACATGAAAGTAATGCAAAATAATACTGGGTGTCAACTGTAAAAAAAAAAAAGTCCAAGTGGAGACCTCGAGCGGGCCAAGGGTGAGGGTGAGAGCAAGCCCAGCGGGTCCCTGGAGCGGAAAGGCAGGTGCAGGGGGAACTCATGCACAAGAGGGCAGAGAGGTGGCGGCAGGTGAGGCCTCCGCGAAGGGTTGGCTGTCGACCGCCTGGGGCAGGAAGCGGTGACTCAGCCCCCGCCGGGAAGCCCGGGGCAGTTACTGTCCAGCGACGACTTCTCCGGGGTGCACGCCAGACACGGAGCTCCAACCCCTCTCTCGATTTCTTCCCGCTCTGAAAACGAAATATTCTTCTCCCCGTTTCTGAGATGGGGAAACTGAGGCAGTCGCGTGTCCGATGGGGGCGCGCCAGGCACGTGTGGCAGGTGGCACCCTCGCCCGATTCACAGAGGGGAAACTGAGGCTCGTGTGCCAGGTTCACGCAGACAGAGGGGGGCCCGGGGCGCCTGGGTCACGTCGGGACCCCGCACCGACCTGGGACCTCGTCATTCCTCCGGGTGAAGGGTGGGGACAGGCGACCGGTTGTCACGATTGGCGCAGAGCTCTGGTCGGGGCTCCTCTTCCTTCCTCGTCTGCCGGTTTCTGGGATCCAAGGGCCCCATTTCCCGAGCGCCTGGCAGCGTCCGGCCTCTTCTGGTCTCCACGACAACGCCGCCATGGCTCCTCCTCCTCCCTCCCTTGGCACCCCCGGCTCCCCGTTCGCACGCCTGCGCATGCTCGGCTTCTGCGCGCGGGCCAATGGGAAGCCCTACCTGCATTCTGGGACATGTAGTCCAAAGCCCGGCGCGCCAGGCGAGGCCGCCTTTGCGACGGCCAATAGGCCGCGGGCGGCGCTCTGTGCATCTTGGGAAGTGAAGTTCTCGCTCTGGCGGAGCCATTCGGGAACGGGCGTGCGCAGGTCGCCAAGACTAGAGCCAATAGGAAGCGTCCCTTGCCGCTCGGCTTTCTGGGAAATGTAGTGCTGGCGAGGCCCGCGGACTTGGGGGCGGTTCTCGAGGCCGTACGGACGACTAGGTCTCCGGGAGTGTTGTGGGGAAGGGGCAGAGAAGAGTTTGGCGCAAAGCCTGCTGGGGCATGGAGTCCCGGTGAGCTTTGTGCGCATGTGCGAGGAGGTGAGGGGCTGGGGGGGCCTCGCCTGGGAGAGTAAGGTGAGTGAGGGGGGAAAATGAGGGAGGGTTTGGGGGGACGGTTGGAGCTTTTGGGGAGTGGGTGCTGGAGACTGGTGCAGGGAGGGACGGGAGAGTTGTGGGAAGGGGATAAAAGGGGAGTCGGGGTGAACGGGAAGGTGGGTAAGGGAGGGGGAGGGGGTTGTGGATCCCTGAGGTCGGGGTCGCAGGAAAGAGTTGGAAACTGAGGGAGAGGAGTTGGGGAGGGCCTGGGAAGTGGGGGCGAGGGAAGGGAGGGGGAGGGGTTGCCAACTGGGGTGGAGGCTGGGCCCTAAGGACGAATTTGGGGACACCTAGACCCGTGGGAAAGGTCGGGGGGAAGGGGCTTTAGGGGAAAGGTCTTGGTCCCCACCGAGATGGGGTGCAGGTGGTTCCTTTTGTGCTCCCTTTTCACGCACTTTTATAAGTTGTGAAATTCCTGAGAATTTCTTACCTTGTTTTCTTTCTTGATAAAGAGTCCGCACCCCCCACCCCCACCCTTTAGCTTGTTGCAAGGGATTGAATTCATTAATAGGGTCCTGTGTTTGCTGTTCTCATCCAAGGCCTCCAGTCCCCTCCTCCACCCCAGTCAGCCTCTAATCATCCACTTTTATTTCCTATTTTAATGCTTATTCCACTTTGCAGCTGGATTTTAGATGCATGTACTTGTGAGGCCCTGGCCCAGTAGCTCAGTTGGTTAGAGCGATGTCCCAGTGCTCCAAGGTTGCATGTTCCATCCCTGGTCAAGGCACATATAAGAATCAACCAACAGCCCTGGCCAGTTTGGCTCAGCGGTTAGAGCGTCGGTCTTCGGTCCAGAGAGACCCGGGTTTGGTTCCCGCTAAGGGGTTGCAGTTTGTCCCCGGCCCTGGTTGGGTCGTACAGGTGGCAGCCACTCGATGTGTCCCTTTCACATCGATCTTTCTCTCTCTCCCTCCTGCTCTATCTGAACAAAAAATGAAAAAATGTCCTCAGGTGAGGATGAAAAAAAAAAGAATCAACCAACAATAAAAGCATAAATAAGTGGAACAACAAATCAATGCTTCTCTCTCTCTCTTTCCCTCCCTCCCTCCCTCCCTCTCTCTAAAATCAGATTTTTTAAAAAATTCAAGCTGAAAGGAAAGGAAGGTGTCGAGGACAACAGCTGGACTGAGCAAGCCATCAACCAGAGTTAGTTACTTTTATCACTGAGACGGGAGATGCCGCTATTAACAAAACAAGCACGTGCATTTAATTTTAAAAAATGATTGATTGATTTTAGAGAGAGAAACATGGATTTGTTGTTCCACTTATTGCACTCATTGGTTGATTCTTGTATGTGCACTGACTGGGATCGAACTGCAACCTTGGCGTATCGGGACAACAGCTTGAATTTTTGGTGCAAGTCTTGGGTTAGGGTGATTTTAGATGCAGAAACAGGCGCAGTCTGTCAAAGGTGCTGGTGAACCTTGCCCAAGGACAACTAGCTGGTCAGTGGCAGGGCTGAGATTTGCTCCGGAGCCCTTGTGCTCTGAGTCAATATTTGTCCCCAGAGGACCTGTGGTAATATCTGGAGAGATATTTGGTTGTCACAACTGGGGAGATACTACTGGCATCTAGTGGAAAGTAGTTCAGCATTTTCTGTGGCAAAGGATAGCTGCCACAACACAGAATTATCCAGCCCAAAGTCCACGGGTGTGGAGGTTAGAAACCTGGAGGAGACAGGTGATCACAGAACGCTGACTCGGTGCTGCCCACTTCCAAAACCCCTTGTGGAGAAGGAGCCATGATTAGTCCTCGATTATAGGTGGAGAAATTAAGCCCAGAGAGGGCAAGTCTTGTGCCCATGGTCACACAGCAGATCAGTGGCAGAGCTGAAAGTTGGAGCCAGGCAGCCCAGCACCAGAGCCCGTCTCTTAAGCATTTAATTAATTCAGCCTGCATTATTTATTTATTTATTTTATTATTATTTTTTTTATCCTCACCCGAGGACATTTTTGCATTTGTCTTCAGATAGAGCAGGAGGGAGAGTGAGAGAGAAACATCAGTGTGAGAGAGACACATCGACTGGTTGCCACCCACATGACCCTAACCAGGGCCGGGGACAAACTGTAACCGAGGTACGTGCCCTGAGGGGGAACGGAACCCGGGTCTCTCTGGTCCATGGGCTGACGCTCTAACTGCTGAGCCAAACCAGCCAGGGCCAGCCTGCATTATTTTTGTTTGTTTTATTTTATTTTAAAGATTTTTTTTTTTATTCATCTGAGGATATTTTTTCATTTTTTGTTCAGATAGAGCGGGATGGAGAGAGAGAGAGAAACATCAACATGAAAAGGACACATCGAGTGGCTGCTACCCACACGACCAACCAGGGCCGGGGACAAACTGCAACCGAGGCACATGCCCTTAGTGGGAACCGAACCTGGGTCTCTCTGGACCACAGGCCGACGCTCTAACCGCTGAGCCAAACCAGCCAGGGCCAGCCTGCATTATTTTTGTTTGTTTTATTTTATTTTAAAGGTTTTATGTTAACTTATAGACAGAGAGAGAGAGGGAGAGAAACATCGATCAGCTGCCTTCTGCATACCCCGTAATGGGAATTGAGCCCGCAACCCTGGGCATGTGCCCTGACGGGGAATTGAACCAGCAACTTGCCTTCAGCACACTGGACGTCGCCCAACTAAACTAACAGCCACACCAGCCAGGGCTTGGGTTATTTTTTTTTAAATGGGCTCCAGGACAGATTTGGCCCACAGGCAGCTGCTTGCTGACCCTAGCCCCAGAACCTCTTTATATTCTTAAAACTTGTTGAAGGCCCAAAAGCACTTTTGTTTGTGGGAGTTAGACCTTTTGATGTGTATTGTGTTAGAAATGAAGACTGACCAAATTTCAGAGGATTAATGCATTTAGAAATAGCAGTAATCGCCCAGTCGGTGTGGCTCAGTGGTTGGGCATTAACTGATACACCAAGAGGACCCTGGTTCGATTCCTGGTCAGGGCATATGCCTGGGTTTCAGGCTCAATTCCCAGTGGGGGTTGTGCAAGAGGCCACCAATCCATGTTGATGCTTATTTTTTTATTTTATTTTATTCTATTTTATTTATTTATTTATTTTTTATCCTCACCCAAGTACATTTTTCCATTTTTTGTTCAGATAGAGTAGGAGGGAGAGAGAGAGAGAGAGAAAGATCGACGTGAAAGGGGCACATCTAGTGGCTGCCACCCAACCAGGGCCGGGGACAAACTGCAACCGAGGTACGCGCCCTTAGCGGGAACTGAACCTGGGTCTCTACGGACCACAGGTCAATGCTCTAACCGCTGAGCCAAAACTGGCCAGGGCAAAAAACATCAGTGTATTTTTAAAAAATTTTTCTCCTCTATTGATTTGAGAGAGAGAGAGAAACATCAATGAGAGAGAACGTCGATTGGCAGCCTCCTGCATACCCTCCACTGGTGATTGGGCCCACAACCTGGGCATGTGCCCTCACTGGGAATCCAGCTGGTGACCTCTTGGTGCACGGGTCAGTGCTCAACCACTGAGCCACACCAGCCAGGCAATAAAACCCTATATATAAAATAAAATTTAAAAAAAGAAGAAGAGAAATAGCAGTAATCAGCTCTTTGTGTGTTCACCTAACATTTTTATGATGAAAAAGAACCATGTTTTCCAAAACGAAGAGTTGGAACTGTAGCTCCCCCCCCCCCCGGGTTGCTCCAATGTCAGACTTAAGAAGACAGCTGGGTCTTCATACCTGTTCTGCATTTAGCCTGTGGCTTCTGCTGCTGAGGACCCCACCGAACACACAGAGGGTGAGCGGGAAAGAGCCAGATGACGTCTTAGTGTTAGGACGACAACAGTCTGACTTCGAGGTGTCCCTGGGAGGGTCTCAGCACCCCCAGGGGTCCCCAGACCATTTGGGGAACACTCTCCAGTCAGGGTGCTGTCCACATTCAGGGCTGGTCATTCTCTGCCTTGGGGCTGTCCTGAGCGCTGTAGGGTCCTTAGCAGCATCCCTGCCCCCACCCACATGGCAGCCTTCCCTTGGCCACTGCAGGCAGGCGAGTACTTTGTTTTATCGGGGGGGAAACTGAGGCAGAGAGGCAACATCACTTGCTCTAGATCGCTGGGCCCCTAAGTGGGAACGCTGAGGTGTGCACCTGTACCCCTGCTCCTGTCCCCTCAGCGGAGGCGGTGGGTTCTTTTTTTTCCCTCATCAGGAGGAAATGTTTCTATTTTTTGTTCAGATAGAGTGGGAGGGAGAGAGAGGAAGAGAGAGAAACATGGACATGAAAGGGACACATCGAGTGGCTGCCACCCGCACGACCAACCAGGGCCGGGGACAAACTGCAACTGAGGCACGTGCCCTTAGCGGGAACCGAACCCGGGTCTCTCTGGACCGCAGGCCGACGCTCTAACCGCTGAGCCAAACCGGCCAGGGCTGCAGCGGGTTCTTGAAAGACTGGGCTGTGCTCTCACTGTGCTGGACGTCCCTCCCCACAGGTGCTGCTGTTCCTGGGCTCGCGGGCCCCCATGGAGGTCCTCTCCCCCCAGCCCGTGAAGCAGGAGGGCCCGGCCGCCGAGGGCCTGGCCCTGGACTCGCCGTGGCACCGGTTCCGCCACTTCCACCTGGGCGATGCGCCGGGCCCCCGCGAGGCGCTGGGCCTGCTGCGCGCCCTGTGCCGGGACTGGCTGCAGCCCGAGGTGCGCACCAAGGAGCAGATGCTGGAGCTGCTGGTGCTGGAGCAGTTCCTGAGCGCCTTCCCCGCCGACATCCAGGCCTGGGTGTGCAGCCGGCGGCCCCAGAGCGGCGAGGAGGCCCTGGCCCTGCTGGAGGAGCTCTGGGTGAGCACCGGGGTGGCTGCGGGAGGTCTGCCCACACCCGTGTCCCTCCGCTGCCGACTCCCTGCCCCTCACAGCCTTACCTCTGCTCCGCATTCAGCCCCGTCCTCGGCCGTGGGAGCTACACCCCACACGTGAGCCAACACCCCACACGGGTTCCACAGCCCTGGAACCAAGGGTGGGATGGGGCGCGGGACGCTCTTGGTGGGAGCCTGAGGCCAGCAGAATGGTTTAGAGGGTGCAGTCCCCAAGGTCACCCTCCCTCCGACAGTCATGGGGCACCCCCAGTTGGATGGTCCGGTAGAAGGACTCAGTTCATGTAAAGCCTCCACGCTGGTGGTTATGGTAGATAATGTGGAAGGGTCCGCCCAGGGGTTCCTGCATAGGACGCTGAGTGGTGCCCACCTGGGAAGCTTCCTGAGCTGGGAGTCCAGGCTTGTGTTGGGGAGTCAGCCACATAGACACAGCAGAACACCGTGGCCGACTCAGCCCCTGCTCCCTCCGGAGGCTGCGCTGATAGAGCTTGGCTGAGAGTCCCCCGTGAATCCCACTGTTAGCTCAGCCTGTGGGGTCGGGACTGGGTTCTGTGACCCTCTGTTTCACAGATGAAGATAGGCTCAGAGAGGTCAAGCAGCTTGCTCAAAGTCACACAGCTAGTTGGGGCGGTGGGAGTAATAGAACCCACGTGCGCGGCTCTAGATTCTTGCTAATAATCCCAGAGCATCCGTGGCTGCTCTGTCCTGCTGTGGACGGTGCTCATCCTCTGCACGGTCCTGCATGTGGGGCTGTGACCCCAAACCAGAGAGCCCAGCACACCTGCAGGGTCCTCCAAGAAGTGCAGGTGCCGAGGCTTCTTGTGCCCAAGAACTGGTGGAGAGCCCGTGTGTGGTTCCTGGCCCCCGTTCTCAGACATGCTGACCGGGGCGCTGGGGACGTCTCCACACCATGTGCTCAGCCTCCCCCTGTCTGAGTGGGGACTTGGGGTGAGACCCTGTGCTGCCCAGTCCGTGGCTTCCTGGCCCCCGTTCTCAGACACGCTGACCGGGGCGCTGGGGACATCTCCACACCATGTGCTCAGCCTCCCCCTGTCTGAGTGGGGACTTGGGGTGAGGCCCTGTGCTGCCCAGTCCGTGGCTTCCTGGCCCCCGTTCTCAGACACGCTGACCGGGGCGCTGGGGACATCTCCACACCATGTGCTCAGCCTCCCCCTGTCTGAGTGGGGTGTGGCCCTGTGCCACCCAGTCCCATCTGAACCGACAGGGTGGGAACTGACTCGCTCTGGGTCCCACGAGCAGGTCTGTGGCTAGAGGCACCCGGGGACATGGTTGGCCTCGTGCAAAACGCCTGCCCTGCACACATCTGTGTCCGATCCTCCACCTTCAGGGTGGAGGACGGTTTGACCTTCATCCATCCATCCGTCCGTCTGTTCGATCACTCACTCAGCATCTAGCATAAGAGGTATCGGGAGCTGGAACCCTCTTCGATGGTGGCAGGAATGTCAGATGAGGCAGCCACGGTGGAAAACAGTCTGGCGGTTCCCCCAGAAGGTTAGGTGTGGGGCTACAGCAGGTCCTGGAACAGTGTTGCATTCAACGTCGACGAGATGCCGTGTGTTTCAGTTAGTCTCTGGTGAAACTGAACATCGTTTCACTTAAAGTCGAAGAGCCTGTCGAGGACACTAAGTGGGGATTTGCTGTACCAGGTGAGCCAGCACGTCCACTTCTATATATGTACCCAGGAGAAATGAAAACACGTCTACTCAAACGTGTACACACGCGGTATGCATGATGGCAGAGCAGCATCACTTGGAATAGCCGAAAAGTGGAGACAGCCCATGTGTGCATCAGCTGGGGCATGGATAAACCAAATGTGGAATGTTTACACAGTGGAGTATTACTCGGCTGTGAAAAAGGATGAAAGACTGACACGTGGATGAACATCGAAAACATTATGTGAAAAAGTGAAAGAGACCAGTCAGAAAGGTCCCACGCGATTCCATTGAGATGAAATGTCCCGAGTCAGCAACTCCACAGACAGGAGCAGGTGCACGGTTCCCCACAGCTGAGCCGGTGGAGGGGAGGGGCTGCTGATGGGTTCGAGACTTATTTGGGGGTGATGGAGATATTCTAACATGGATTGTGGTGATGGTTGGGGTTGTATTTAAGTGGGTGAATTCTGTAGTATGTGAATTGTATCTCAGTAAAGCTGTTAAGGTAGGAAAAGATTGGCACCAAGGACCACAGGTGCCAGAGAGACCTGCGCCTACCCCAGCTCCCCCACCCAGCCCCCTGCTGGAGAAGACGGATGCGCACAGGCACAAAAACTATGACGTCCAAGGCGACTCCATCAGGGAGGTGTGACGTGTCTGGGAGAGAGCGCGCCAACTACACACAGATGCTTCCCAAAAAGTGAAGAGGAGGAGCCATTTCCAGCTCATTCTGTGGGGCCAGCATTACCCCGATACCACGGCCGAAGACACTGCAAGAAAAGGAAATCACAGGCCGATATCCAAACAGCAAAAGTTATGTTGCGTGAGAGACCCAAAAAAAGTGCATTCGCCGCCTGGGTCTGTTTATATCAAGTTCCAGAAAAAGAAATCCACTCTGTGTTGGCGGAAATCACACCAGTGGTTGCACGTTGGAGGCGGGACGGGGTGGGGGAGATGACGCATGTGCACAGGGACTCCGGGGGCCGCTGGTGTGCTCCCCGCCTTGACTACGTTGGTGGCTTCTTGAGCAGATCCATACATTGAAACTCATCAGATTATATGCTTTAAATGTATGCATTTATTGTACGGCTGTTAGGCTGAAAGAAACCTGTTACAACGTGCACTGTGACGGGCACCAGGGTAGGAGTTCCTATGTCACAGGGTTGTAAAGCAGGTGTGTGGCAGAGACGGGCTCAGTCAGCTCCCAAGGTCCACAGTGAAGGGGGCGGGAAAGGGCGTTACAGACAAAAGAGTGGAGATCTGAGCGAGCCTGGCACCGGGACACACAAGCTGCATACTGTGACATGGACTTACAGTTCCAGGTGGGGACCTAACCACAGGTGGGGCTGGGGGACTGGCAGGGGTCGGGCCACCTGGCCACGTGGGTCACTGCAGGAGCAACAGGCCCGGTCATACCCGGGCTGCACTCGGTCAGGAATCAGTTTACAGTACGGTGGTTGCAAGTTATCCTGTCACCTCCCCGACAGTGTGTCAGGAACTTGCAGTGGGTCTCGTTCAGGGTTTCAGGAGGTTGCAGTTAAAACGTCAGCTGAGCCCTGGCCGGTTTGGCTCAGCGGTTAGAGCGTTGACCTGCAGTCCAGAGAGACCCGGGTTTGGTTCCCGCTGGGGGTGCGTGCCTCGGTTGCAGTTTGTCCCCGGCCCCAGTTGGGTTGTGTGGGTGGCAGCTATGCGTTGATGTTTCTCTCTCTCTCTCTCTCTCTCTCTCCCCCCCCCTCCCACTCTATCTGAACAAAATATGGGCAAGTGTCCTCGGGTGAGGATAAAAAATAAATAAAAAACAAAAAAATGTCAGCTGATGCCGGCCTGTGTAGCTCAATGGATTAAGTGTCGTCCCACACACCAGGAGGTACCTGGTTCAATTCCTGGGTAGGGCACATGTCCAGGTTGTGGACCAGATCCCGGGGGGAGTGGGTTCATGCAGGAGGCAGCCAATTGATGTTCTCTCTCATCGATGTTTCTCTCCCTCTCTCTAAGATCAGTAAAGAAAAAAACCTTTTAAAAACATCAGCTGGGACTGTTGTCATTGGACGGCAGGCCTGGGCTGGAGGATGTGAGGGGGCTCCCTCATGTGGGCTTCACGTGGGGTGGCCTCAGTGTCCCCCAACACAGCACTGGCTTGGGTGATGGGGGGAGGGGAATCAAGGCTGTCGCTCAGGTGTCTCAGTTCAGAATGCGGACTCTCGTTTCAGGGACCAGCGATGAGGGCCCCTCGGGGTGCGACAGAAGTCTCCGGGGTCAGCCTCCAGAAGGAAGACAGTGGCATGATTCCTTTAGGTGAGCAGCTGACCCCTTTCCCACATAACCAGCTTTCTCCCCAGCCCAGCCCAAGGTGGGGATCCCCCTCCTGCCTGTCGCTCATTTGTTCAGTGAGCATCCCTGGTGTCCTTGCTGTGGGCCCCAGGGGCTGGAGATGAAAAGATGACCCCACCCTGGCGAGCAAAGGGGGGGGGGCATGCAGGACGCAGCGCAGGTGACGCATGCCCCGTGTGTAGTTCTGGCCAGTGAGATGAAATCCCACCACAGCCCCCGAAGGTACGCGGCATTACCCGCGTTCTGTAGCTGCAGACACAAGTGCAGAAACAAGGTCACTCACCTGGGATCCGGTGCTGGCAAAGCTGGGGTTGCACCGGGCAGTCTGACGCCAGACCTTTGCACCCACACAGCTAATTGCACGGAGTCCCTGAGTCAAGTCTCATCGGCTCGGATTGAGTCGTGCTCTTTCCGACCCGGTGCTGTGACCAGGGTGCAGCACCCTGTCCTGAGAGCCCAGCCTGGCACACACACCCGCCCGTGGACCGGGGGCTGGAGCCAGCTCCGTCCAGACCACACTGACGGAGAGGAAGGGAAATCAGGTTGGACCTTGTCAAAGAAGCGGGCAGACTGGAGGCAGAGACCTGGGTGTCCAGCAGGCGAAATGGTGACTGGTGTTGGTGTGGAACCAAGTGCTGGGACGCCAGGAGCAGCCTTTCAGATGGGACAGGGCTGGGGCTCTGGCCTGAGGGTCATCTCAAGGTCATATGTGGAGGCAGAGGTTGGAGGCCATGGGGGGGGGGCTGGGGAGGATAGGGGTGTCATAGGGAGGATGGACGTCACAGGGAGGACAGGGACAGGTGGTTCTTGGCGGTTCCTAGTCTCCGGGAAGACACTGAACGAGGTGGACTGTCAGGTACAGGGGCGCTGTGGTCCCAGGGGAAGAGAGCAGAGGGTGGGAGTTCAGAGCGCTTCCTGAAGCAGGGCAGGGCTGCGGAAGGCCGCTGGAGAAGGGGTCAGGCACAGACCTGCTCCTGCGGGGATGTGAGGTTGCAGGTGGGTGCGCAGCACCATGCGGACGCAAGGGAGAGCAGGTGTTAGCGATTGGTATTTTTATCCTGCTGGTCCTGGTGTAAGAGAGGGGCTGCTCAACTCTGTGGAGTTCCACAGAGCAGTTTGAAACCTGGAGAAAGGAAGCGTGTGTTTCATACGCCCACACACTAATCCACTCTTCCATTTGTCACCCGATGGCCAGTCAGATGCTCGCCTGCCCCTTGTATACCACCCACCCATCCACCATTCATCCACACCCACCCACCGTTCACCCATCAGTCGACCTTCCTACTCCTCCCTTCATCTGCCTACCGGCCACCCATCTACCCACCCACCCATCCACCAGTCTGTACCCTCCATCTGCCTACCATTTATCCATTCATCCATCTATCCATCCATCCACCCACCTACCTACCTATCCATTCACCCACCCACCCATCTGTTCATCCATTTATCCATCTGTCCATCGTGCATCTATCCACCCCACCCATTCATCCATCCATCCACCCACCCACCCACATCCACCAGTCTCTGTACCCTCCATCTGCCTACCATTTATCCATTCATCCATCTACCCATTTATCCATCTGTCCATCCATCCATCTGTCCATCCACCCACCCACCCATCCATCTGTCCATCCATCTACCCGACCCATTTACTCATATATCCACCATCCACCCACCTACCCACTCACTCATCATCCATTCATCCATCATCCCCCCATTTACCCACCCATCTGCCCATCTACCCATCCGCCCTCCCACCCACCCTCCCATCCACCTGTCCATCCATCCATCCGTCCACCCTCCCATCCATCCACTCACCCTCCTGTCCATCCATCCACCCTCCCACCCTCCCATCCATCTGTCCATCCATCCTTCCGTCCACCCTCCCATCCATCCACTCACCCTCCTGTCCATCCATCCATCTGTCCTGTCTCAGACATTTGTTCACTCACCGACCCATTTCTCTCCCATTCGTCCATCCCCCGGCTGACATTCTCATCCATCCTTTTGCCCTTTCACTGTCTTCTGTGTATTGTACCCCTTCCCCCCACACCCACATGCCCATTTGCACCTCTGCGTGGTGGGCACCTACTCTGCAGCAGGCACTGCCATGGGGATCAGAGATGACTGAGGAGCCACCCCAATGCGCCTTGACATTGAGCACCCCTCCCCCTCCCCCAGCGCCGCCCTTCCTACCCGTGATGTGGCCATGAAACCCCGCCCACCCCAGCCCCGCTGTACCTGCCCCGCCTTGTGCCGAGTCACCGCCCTGATTGCACCTTTCCCGGCAGGAGATGCAGTCGCAGGGGCTGAGGAGCCCGCTGCTGGGGACGCACAGGCCATGCGCCCCTACAAGCAGGAGCCAGGCAGCCCCCCGCTGGCCCCGCCGTCCCTGCCCGCGCCCGACCTGCCCGCCTTCCTGTCTGCAGCGGGCACCGTGTCCTGCCCCGAATGCGGCAAGACCTCCCTGAAGCCGGCGCACCTGCTGCGCCACCGGCAGAGCCACTCGGGCGAGAAGCCGCACGCCTGCCCCGAGTGCGGCAAGGCCTTCCGGCGCAAGGAGCACCTGCGGCGCCACCGCGGCACGCACCCCGGCAGCCCCGGGCCGGCCCTGCGCCCGCTGCCCGCCCGCGAGAAGCCGCACGCCTGCTGCGAGTGCGGCAAGACCTTCTACTGGCGCGAGCACCTGGTGCGCCACCGCAAGACGCACTCGGGCGCGCGGCCGTTCGCCTGCTGGGAGTGCGGCAAGGGCTTCGGGCGCCGCGAGCACGTGCTGCGCCACCAGCGCATCCACGGCCGGGCCGCGAGCGCCGGCCCCGCGGCTGCGCCGGGCCCCGAGGGCGGGGGGGCCCTTCCCGCCTTGGCCGTTGGGGTAGCCGCCCGGTGCTGCCCAGCGAGCCATCCAGCCCTTCCTGCCCCTCAGCCAACCTCCAGGACCCGCTCTTCTCCACGCCTCTCCCCTCCCTTGTTTAAACTGCCCGATACCCTGACGTTCTCGGTTCCTTCCCAGTTTTTCTGCCCCAACCCTTACTTTCCTGTTCAGGTCTCTTCTCCGTTCACCCCTCCCCACCCCCCATCTCCCAGCCTGTTCCACCCTGTGAAAGGTGCCTCCACGTTGTACCCTTTTCTCCCCACCCTCTCCCTCCCTCTCCACACTCTGGGGAGGGCATCAAAGCGGACCAGGAGCCCAGGAGAGGAGGCTGAAGGCAGGGGACTGAGTCTTGAACCTAGGAGACCGCCGCTCCCCCCACCTCCCCGGACAGATTTGGGGGACGAGAGAGGAGCCTGGCAGTGGGCTCTTTGGTCTGGCTCTTCTCTGCGACCCAGGAAGGCAGGAGCTGGACAGAGAGGCCGGCTCTGGGAAGCGCGTGGAAGCGACAGACAGTTCACCAGCATATGCAGAGTAATAAAGTCACTGATGAGGTGTGCAGCCACAGTCAGTTTCTCTTGTATGCGCCGCCCTTCCAGGAGCTGTGTCTGGGGTCAGGGGGCTCTCTGGAACCTATCCACCTTCCAGAGGCCCTGGGAGTCTGGCTCAGCCCCTAGGGCAGCACTTCCTGTCCTTGAGTCTAGAGAGGGGACCCTGTGAGAGGCAACAGAGATGAATTCTTGCCCATTTCTGCGCAGTGGGGATGCTTCCACACAGTTCTCATCAAACCTCAGGGGCCCCAGGAGCAGATCACCCCACTTCCATCTCAGAGAGGCAGGTACAAGACTAGGGAAGGGGCCTGGCTTAGCACCAAACCCACTTGAGTTCCTGTGTCGACTGTGGCTTCCTGGCTGCATAGTCAGGTTACTTTCCTCTCGCCTCAGTTTCCACATCTGTAGCTAACAATAGTGGCACCCATATGTATTGCTGAGAGTGTCAATTGGAGTACATCACCCCATTTTGGGGGGACCACGCCCAGATATCACTGTCAGGTCTCTTGAGTGGCCCATCTTGCCAAGAGAGGAGTCTAGTCTCCTGGGTTTGGGTTTTGAACGTGTCTGAGAACCTCTGAGGTGGGTGTGACACTGGGGATGGCTTTTTGCTGTTGTTAATTCCCCCTTTTTTAAAAAAAGGGTATTCTGTTGATTTTTAGAGTGGGAGGAAGAGGGAGAGAAACATCCCTGTGAGAGGGACACATTGATTGGTTGCCTCCCGCATGCACTCCAACCAGGGCTGGGGATTGAACCCAAGACCCTTCCCTGTGCGGTTGGTGCTCCTAATTGCTGAGCCACTGGCCAGGCCGGGTGGCGGGTTCCTGAGTGCAGGCCTGTGGCCAGTGCTGTCCCCCCTGCTACCCTCCCCCCACTCCATCCTCCCCCTGGGAGATACTGGTGGGTCTGACCAGTAAAACTGCGGGCCCTGCCCTAGCTGCAAGGGATTCTGGGAGAGCAGCTCGCTGACTGCCCGGCGTGTGCGCAGAGGCTGGTCCCATCTTTCAAGACCCCGAGGGTGGGAAAGTGCCCAAGCAGCAAGAGAGGTTTGGGTGCCAGGAACAACGTGGCCGTCAGGGGGCCCCGGGCAAGCCCCCGGCCTCACCATCACCTGAGAGCTGAGGCTCCGCTGGCAAGGGCCCAGGGCTGAAGTGCAGGGAGGGACTGAATGCGGATGCTTAGTGCTGCCCGGTCCCGTGAGCGCCCGCAGGCACCTCTCCTGGTAGGGCCCCTCCCACTGGGATGTCCCTGTCACCTGCCCGCTGGTGGGCAGGGGAGACCTGCCTGGAGAAGCCACGTCCTCAGCTGCAGGACTTCAGGGGGTGGCCGTGGTGTGGGGCAGTGAGGCCAGGCTGCGGTCTGAGGACGGGGTTCTGGTAACAGCAAACCGATGTCTGCAGCGTCCAGATCCCGTTTCCGGGGCTTACAGCCACCTGCTCGGTCATCGCAGCAAAGGACACCAGCACTGTTCTTATGCAGGTGGGGAAACTGAGGCACCGCGCAAGGAAGTGGCCGGCTGCCGTCGCAGAAAGCCTGGGTTTTATAGACTGGGCTGCTGTGGTGATGAGGAGCCAGACTGGTGCCCATGGTGCGCATAGAGGTCTCTGCGGGAACTGCAGGTGGCCAGGGGCTGGGGGATGGTTTCCTCTGCCCCACCTCCGCCCAGCGGAGGGAGGGGGGAGCTGTTGCCCGTCTCCTCTCGGCTGCTGTACCGCCTCCCCCTTGGCCCGGTGCAGGGGTCAACACCAGGCCCAACCCGCTCCACTTGCTGTGTGAGCAGGTGAGTGGCCCGAGCAGCCTGGGCGGCCTCCATGGAGTCTCACGTGGGTGACTGCTCACCGGCTGGTGCCCCGAAGCCGGGACCTCTCGGTCTTCCTCACCCCTCTGGGTCAGACGGTGCCGGTTTACCTGCTGCAGACGGCTTGGAACTCACGGCTTCCGGTTGCTCTCACAAGTGCGGGTGTTGGGAGGTGGGGAGAGATGGCCGGGCGCGAGCCAGCCTTGTCCGAGCCCCGCCCCCCTGGCAGACTGCGCTGGACTTGTGCCCGGGCGCCCGGTTCCAAGCGCGGGCGTGGCAGGGAGCGCGCAGGTGTGGGAGCCTCCTGAAGCCGTGCAGGTCCCGCCACCGTCTTTTATTGGTCACTGCGAGCTCAGGCCAGTCCGTATTCAAGGGTTAGGGAAGCGCCCGCCTCTCGACGCCGTCTCTGCAAAACCACGTCCCGAAGAGCTTGGATGGTCACTTACGCAACAGTCCAGCGAGCACCTGCGTGGCTGAGTGACAGGCGCCTGGAAAGAGCGGAGAGCCAAAACGAAGTCCCTGTCCAGCTGCGCTTCCCACAATGGTCCAGGGGAAGGAGGACAGATGCCTAAGCGAGGGAGTTGCAATAGCAATAGATCTGATTTAAAAATAAAGGAGGGTGTATGTGAAGAAGGCATTTGGGGCTGGACCGTGGAGACCCAGTAGTCAGGGATGGCGGCCTGGGTGATGTCAGGACAGCCATGCAGGGAGCGGAACCAGCCAGGACCAAGGCCACAGGAAGGGGCAAGCTGGCGCGGCTGGACCCAGGAGAGGCGTGCAAGGACATGAGTCACGAATATTTGTGAGTGTCGTTTTATTTTTGGCATGCTGGGAAGACATTGGAAGGTTTCGGGCAGGAGTTACATCATCCGATTTATACTCTAAAAGCAGTATTTTAGCCGCTGAGTAGGACACAGGAGGGGGGATGAGACGCGGGAGAGCGTGAGTCAGTTCAGGGAAGAGAACCATGAATCAGCCGCTTCCTCCCACACTCAGGAGCTTGGAACCAGCTGTGGCCCCCGGTCTCCAGCTGGGCGAGAAATTGTGGCCACACCACTGTTAAGCTCCGGAGTCCAGGTGCCCGAGTTTCTATCTGGTTGTTTGCCTGCTGTGCAATCTTGGGAAAGTGGCTTGACTTCTCTGAGCCTCCGTGTTGTGCTTGTTACTGATTCAGTGAGCGTCATTCCCTACCTCACAGATGTGCAGAGGATTCCCTGAGACCAGGGACACGTGTCGCAAGCACACCACTGGGAACCCAGCAAGTGCTGACGATCATCATTATTTTAAATTTTATTTTTCTTTATTGATTTTTAGGGAGAAGGGGAGAGAGAGAGAAACATCAGAGAGAACATCGATTGGCCACCTCCTGTATGCCCCCCCACTGGGGATCGGGCCCACAACCTGGGCATGTGCCCTGAGTGGGAATCCAACTGGTGACCTCCTGGTACATGGGTTGAGGCTCAACCACTAAGCCACACCAGCCGGGCAATGACGATCATTATTAATAGGGTTATGGTCCATGATGGAGACCCCTTTCCACAGTGGGTCCCTTCCCCATCAGCTTTATGTGCAGGGTTGTCCATCCTTTATTGCCCTCACAGCAACTCTGAGTTTTTGGGTTTTTTTTCTTAAATCCTCACCTGAGGATATTTTTTTTCATTGATTTTTAGAGAGAGTGAAAGGGAGGGAGGGAGAGAGAAACATGTATTATCCATCTATCAGTCATCTGTCTGCTTATCTCGTATCTGTGTCTGTCTGTCTCTGTCCACTCTATCTCCAGTTCTCCTGCGTGCCCCCGGGCATTCTGAACCAGAGGCGCAAACCCAGTCCTTCCCACTCCGGCTTCCGCTTCTGCCTCCCCATTTCCAGGCTCCTTCCCTTCCACGGTTAAACACCTTACCTGCTGGGGGCAGGCTGCACCTTCCTCCTCATTTCCCGTCCTTGAGAGAAAGCAGCGGATGTGAGTGAGTTCCCAGCAGAAGCAGGCCACACGCGTGTCTGTGTGTGTGTGGGTATGCACGAGTATGTGTGTGCGTGCACGTGTGTGTGTTCCTAGAAGAAACAGACCACACGCGTGTCTGTGTGTGTGTGGGTATGCACATGTATGTGTGTGCGTGCACGTGTGTGTGTTCCTAGAAGAAACAGACCACACGCGTGTCTGTGTGTGTGTGGGTATGCACATGTATGTGTGTGCGTGCACGTGTGTGTGTTCCCAGCAGAAGCAGACCACGCGCGTGTCTGTGTGTGGGTATGCACGTGTATGTGTGTGCGTGCACGTGTGTGTGTTCCCAGCAGAAGCAGATCACACGCGTGTCTCTGTGTGTGTGTGTGTGTGTGTGTGGATATGCATGTGTATATGTGTGCATGCACGTGTGTGTGTGTGGAGAGCAGGGACAGGGCCGTAGCAAAAAAGATTCCCAGTCACGATTTCAGAGAGAGGGAGATACACACACACAAAATCAATAAACTCTGAAAACCATTAGAGGTGGGCAGATGCCTCCCTGGGTTCCCCCACATCCCAGCCAGGACCCACCAGTAAACCCTTCTCACCTCGACATTCCACCGTCTCCCTGCGGCTCCCAGCTTTGGACTATATGGCTCTTTCCCTGGGTGTCACAGAGCCCGGGTCCCTCCGACAAGATCCCCCAACCTGGTGAT